GTAGTTTACGCACCAAATAACGGCAATGTTTGAGAATTTCATCACGTTTGGGTCTGAAAAATATTCAACGATTTGAAATTCAATTAAATAAACGAAGGTAAATTAAAATATGTCATATTTGTTGCACGGCGAATGAGGATGTCGCCACCCGAAGAAGGATAGTTTGTCACTGTTCGTCAGATAGGTCTACAATACGGACGGACCAACGAAGCTCGCTACAAAATTACTACCTTTCCACAACAGAGGGGTCTACGATCCGAAACGACCCAAATATTTATCGGCCAACGTCTAAAAGCAATAGGGCTGCTATAACAACAACAAGATTATTACACTCGCAACGGAGTTCATGGGCAAATCTAACCGTTGATGTTCAAACTCATCCATTAGAAAAACGGTCCTTAGACTCTCACTGATATACCCGTCGGGATACTTATATAGCTGGCTTGTGACAGAACATTTTTTCCATAAGCCGAGCTTAAAAAAGATTTCCAGACGCGGTCTTGCGCACAGCTGTACCAATTTGAAAGATCCTGTTTCAAAATGTTGTCTTACACTTGATATTTCCATCGAATTCGTCGCCTTCCCTTTCTGCGTGAACTAACAGTTGGCTCGTTTTTATCCATTCTCACAACATGACCTAGTCAACGAAATGGTATCGGATAAATAATAATACGGATTGGCATTTTTAGGTGTTTGGATTATGCGGATAGTTTTTTTAGGTCATTCAGAAAAACTGGATAAATGGTTTGGGTCATTTGGGTCATATAGTGGATAACGATTTTACAGTGTTTGTATAACGCGGATAATTTTTTTAGATCATATGGATAATACGGATAATCATTTTTTTGTGTTGTTTCAATTATGCGGATAATAATTTTAGATCATGTGGATAAATCGGATAACGAGTTTAGGTCATTTGGATATATTTGATAACGACTTAACAGGATTTGCATAATGCGGATAAATATGTTAGACCATACGCATAACTCGGATAAGCACTGTAAAGTATTCGTATAACGCGGATACACTTTTTAGGTCATTAAGATGAACTGGATTTCGCAGAATTTGGATAATGCGGATAAAGATTTTAGATCGTCTAAATAATGCAGATAAAAATTTTCGAGCATTTGGATAACGCGGATAATGTTTTTAGATCATCAGGATAATACGGATAACCATTTTTTGGATTTGGATGACGGCGATATTCACCGTCGACGCAGATCGGCCCATAAATCTTTCTGAGATTTTTTTCTCTCAAACGGATTTTGCTAATAAAGTAGCCAATAGGAGGTTATACAGTTCCCTCAATCGGTAGAGTGTACGACTGTGAACACCATCGAGCATGCTCATCGACTATCGCATCCCCTTCAATGTTACTGTGTCCTGGAACCCAACATAATATAACTATGTTTTGACTATCTCAGCCGTCTTCGTGATTGCCAAGATTTCTGCCTGAAAAACGTTTTTTCGAAGATTTTTTCTCTCAAACACTCCAAAGAACTGTCTTGCGCAAGTACCCATGCTTCAGATCCATACACCAGCAGCGCGTCTTGTAGAGCGGGTTTTCTAGAAGATATTTTAATGCGGGTTTCAATGGAAGGGTTTCAATGCGAAAAATAATAGAAAGAATAACCATTGCTTTCCTATACAAAGACCCTGTTAAATTCCTCTAGTCTGTTGATTGAAAACCTTCAGTCCTTCATTTTTGTTTTCACTTACTTTTCCAATTCCAATATCCAAAAATCATCAAGTCTTAGCTGAGGCGTTGTCGAACGTCCCGGATTACCGCCAAACATATAATGCAATTTAGCCATATCATCGTAGACAAATTGATGAGCATAACGTGGGCATGGTTCCATAAGATTATTTCGGCTATTATCAAAATTTGTACTATCAGGCGATGATGAGGCATTATAACGACTGGTATAGATGCGGGACCATTGATGGGTGTCCAATGAATAGACCCAAAATGAATTTGATGCATCAACATGATGAATATCACGGCGATCTTTGATTTTGCTAAGACTCTGTAAAAGTAAAAATTTGAAGAGAATACAATTGGAGATAAAAAACAATAAGACTTCTTACCGAAAACACATAAATCTCATTACGCTCGCAATCAATTGTGGCCCTTAGGGTATAACCAGGTGAGGGTTCATTTTTACCATCGGAAGAATTTGTGGGATTACTGCTACCAGCAGCTGTAGCATTATTGGAGCTATTGCTGCTAACACTGCTGCCATTGGCATTATTATTATTGTGATTACCAGTCGAATTTGTTTGACCATTTGAATTGGGATGCCTATTTAAAATCTCCAATGTTTGGGTATCAACTTTATAGGTTATAAAATCATGGATATCCTCTTTGCCACGTTGGCCACCATAAATGTACAATTTACGCTTTTTCTATAACAAAAAAACATAATTCTTTCTTGTTAAAAAAATAAATCTCTCCCAAAAAAAAATAATCTGCCAACATACATTATGAAACACCATACAATGGGTGATACGCGATTTAATGGACAAAACATCTGGCTGTGATGCCGTTGGATGATGACAATCCACCAATATCTGAGTCCATGTATTGGTGGCAATGTGATAGGAAAACAATCCCGAGTATTCGGGTTCACTTGTTGTCGAGGCATTAACACTGCGCGGTGTCAAAACCTTACCGCCGAACACATATATCGTTCTCTTCTCAACATCGATACACATCTGATGATCATACATCAGTTGGGGACCACCCACCTGACATGTATCATCACAAATTTGCAGCCATGTCCGAGCTCGCGTATCATACAAATAGAAATCACTTTTTATATATTCCGTAGTACGAATGGAGTTGTCCAAATAACGGCCCAACATAAAGATGTTCTCACTGACCGGATCGAAGACCATTTTATGACATGAACGTGGTGTGGGTCCATTGAATTGTTCGGAATGTTCAAATATTTGCGTCCAACAATTATCCTTAATATCGAATACCCACAGATCGCTTAGATCTTGAAAGCCATCCCAACCCCCGAACAAATAGATTAAACGTTTTTTGACATCCATAACCAGTTGGTGGCCACCACGATTACCTGAAAGGAAATAAATACAATAAAAGATGTATAAATGGGATTTTATTTATTTATTTATTTCAAAAATGCAATTTGAAGCCATTAAGGCCGATTTAAATTGCAAACTATACTACTCCATTTAAAAAGATTTCTTAATGATATCTTAAAGGTATTATTCTAAAAATAATAATATATTTGAAGGTTTGGAAAGTGGCTAACTATTTTAATTAGAGAGCCGATGGAATAATTTTTTTTTATATGAAGATTTTAGTAACCATCCAGGAAAAGAATTCCAAGAGATTTTCTTTGCAAGAAACATCAGGATGCCAGCTGTGAGGTCTAGAGATTTTCTATAAAGTCGAACGGAAGATATTTATGTGAATAAAGACCTATGGAGAGGTTCTATACAAGGTTCTATTCAATCTATATAATGAATAACTAGAAGACTTTTTAGGGAGAAAGTTCAAGAGATTTTTTATTAGAAAAAAACTAGCGGTTTTCTTAGAAGTTGACATAGAGATCTGCTTCTGGAGTGGAATGATTGAGAAAATATCTCTCCCCTCAATCAGCTCTAAAAACTGTTTTTTTTTCTTCAGAGGAATTTTGAGATTGGAGAAGATATGAAAACATGAGCGTGAACTATCAGAAGACCCTCTTTTATATGCCATTTGAGCTGAACCATCCTCATATAAAGAGAAATTTAGAAACAGTGTAGAAAAACTATTTATTTTAGCCATGTCAGAGTTTTAATAAAGCTAAGAATCATCTTGGGGTCTATTCCGGATTATCAATTTCATATTTACCAAACTTTCGGTCTGTCTTCTGCTAATTAGCGATGGACACCTACAGAGTAAATGTTCAATTGTTTCCAGCTCTTCCTCATCCTCACATGAACGGCAATAATCCACTCCGATAATGTCCCGTTGTGAGAACTGAGGGATCTAATTCTGCAGTGACCTGTTATTATGTAGCCAATAGGAGGTTGTATAGATCCCTCAATCGATAGATTGGAAGACTGTGAACCCCCTCGAGCAAATTCATCGGCTATTTCATTCCATTTCTATGTTGCTGTGTCCTGGAACCCAACATAATTTAACTATCTGTCGTATAGCATCCTTGCAGTCACGAACCTTTTCCACGTTAGTTTGTGGTCAAGGACAGTATCAATATATTTTGTTTCTAAGGGGAAAGGGCTAATGTGACTCTACACAATGATGGCAATCGGAAGGTTGGAATCTTACGTTTCCTAGTGAACAGTACCATTTATGTCCTCGTGGGATTTGCGTCAAGCCATGTGCCCTGTTAGAAAAAGTTAATAAGGCACCCTAAATGATATTAGAAATAGTCGGCAGAAATTTCCCACCGATTAGCAGGACTACATCGTCGGCATATGCTACAACCTTTATCCTGAGGAGATCGAATTTCAGCAATATCTCATTTATCACCAGAACTACGGCTTCTGGTGATAAATGAGATACTGCTGAAATGAAGGAGATAATACTCCACCCTGTGGTGTGCCTCTGTTGAAAGATTTTCCTCACGGAATGGATGAATTGATAATTCTGCTTTCCAGCATTCTATCAATCCAATCCAATCGATAGCAAAATTGATAGTTTCCAGCTTCACATTGTTAAAGACTCCTTCAAGACTCCATATTCTTCTCGATATGACCGACCACCTAATGTAAGGCAGTGTTCACTGATTTGCCTTTGATATAGGCATGCTGAGATTTACTAATTTTGTTTAAGTTGATAATGTTCCTAATTTCAGAGTTCAGTAAACTTTCTAAAATCTTTAGTAGATAGGAAGAAACGCTAATTGGTCTATAGTCCTTAGGTAGCGTATGACTCGGCTTCCCAGCTTTCGTGATGAAAGTCACCGTTTCTTTCTATAGACTTGCCCTAAAGAACCCCTGCAAAGTGATTAATAATCGTTCATCTGCGTGCTGCAGCATGGCCGGTATTAAGCCAACTGGAAACGAGCCTTGGGTATATTATCCTTACCTTAATCACAGATTTTGTGAAATATTCGAATGTGGATTTACAGTCGACGAATAGATAGTATATATCCATGTAATATTAAACTCCTTGTACATTAGAACTTTTTACCGGGTTAACCTACTTTATAAGGATTTATTTGACATATATGCAAAGGAAATGACAATTGAAACCCACTGGGTTAACGAAATTCGGTTAAATGTAAACGTACTGTAATTGGGTCTTTTCCAAGATTTGGCGCTGTGTGAATATCTGTTTCGTTGGGGATTTTAGTTAGCTAGTTTGGCTCATATAAAAATTCTATGAAATATAACTTCTTCAAAAAAATATATACCTGGTTGTGCTGATCCTTGAACATGTTGCAAACGCCATGCATGTTTATAATCCTGACGATTCAAATAGTCATCCATGAGGCCCTCTTCAATGCAATCGCTTATGAACTTTTCGGCCTTTTCAAAATCGCCATTTACCACCAAACATTGATGTAATTCGCTTATCAATGGATGTTCCAATTGGACATGGGTTTGATCCTGTAAGGCCTTGAATGCTGTATCATAACCTTGTTGGCGAAAATGTTTCAAACACAAACGAATAATTTCCACTTCACGTAACTACAAAGAATCAATATTTGAATGAATAAAAAAAATAAAATAAAATTTAATCATGTTTACCTTATTGTAATCCTTTAAACAACCACTGGTGTACATGGGATCATCTTGGCCCATTAATTCAATATACCAAATGCTATAGTTAAAGGTGGGTCCCCACGATAATAGTGGAACAATTTTGATATATAAAATTGGCAGACTTGTTGTAGCATCCTTGGCAACACAGCGTAAATTGAATGTTTCGGGTATGTGATCGTTGCGTAAACCTCTATGAAGGGAATGGATGGTGCGAGGTAGGGAAATGGTTAAATAATTAAATCGTGCTATTCGTTTTGGCTGTGTACTCACCCCTCCAATAGTAGAACCATATGTTCCTCATCCAAACCACCATAAATTCGAAACTTTTTGATATTGCAGACATGTGACTTTTCAAATTTACCAAATTTTATCTTTTTCACTATGGCAGGTCGGCGCAATTTCAATGTTAAATATTGTGGTGGATTATTGTTGTGGGCCGACCACCGCGACGACTGATCACTGGGACAGTCCACAAGTATATTTCTAAAACAGAACAATAGTCATATATTCAATTAGAAAAACATAATACATAATACTATTAAAAAAATAAATGGGGCCCAACCAAGGGTTCATCGATCTATAATGATTTTTTTGTAGGGGCAACAAAAATGCATCTATACTCCGTATTAAATAATTCGAAAAATATGTTTGGAGACCGTAAATGTTACGATTTGCATTTGATCATCATTCTATAAAAGTGCATATACAGGGGTTGGGAATTCGAGAGTATATTAAATTTGACATTCCCTTAGCAAAACCTCTAAAGATACGTCGGATACCCCATAAATTATACATATTTTGTTGATCTGAATAAAATTCTATGTCGATTTAGTCATGTCGGTCTGCTGATATCGCAATAGAGATTACATTATTTAAGATAGAATTTTGAAAGTTCACCCTGACATTGCTACAAATGAGGTACATGTTTCCATGTTTTGGTATAGCTCCCATATTACTGAACTACGCAATTTTCGGTATTTTAAAGGGGACTTCCTAAAGGGAGATTTAATATCCGATGAGAACTCAAAATACCAAATTACAAACAATTCGGTTGAAAAATGTTCCAAAAATACCCGAAATATCGAAATTTTTATGAACTTCTTTGGAGAGAACTACCCAAAAACACCAATTTAAGAGACTGTAGAAGTCTAAGTTAAAATAAATTGTAACTTTTGTCGGTTTTATTAAATATATGATTACCGTAGTGACTACTAAAAATAAATTTAATTAAAATCGGGCTATCGCTAAAAATTAGACGACAAAAATGCAGAAAGCCGCTTAAACCGAAACAATCAAGGCGTTATATTAAAAAATTTATATTGACTAGGGAGTGTATTGAATAAACAAGAAACTCGGACAAGGAATGACTTGTCCATGTAAATTCGTATTCCTAGAAAAGCGGGAAAACTTAAATGTACTGGCTAAAAATAGAAGGCATTGTGATTTATATACTTTATAAAATAATAATAGACATCGAAGATCGACGAATCTGTTAAAGGGACAGCCAATAAAACGTTCTACAAAAGGGAGAAATATGGGAAAAGAACCCAACAGAATATACATATATAACTGCACTATTGAATGCTCTATCGATATGAGATGTAAATGACAGTTTATCAGCAATAAGTACACCAAGAATTTCTAAAACGCAAAGATTTTGTATTTCGACCCCTTTGTATTTAATATTCAGGTCATTAGAATAAGAAGAAAATAACAGAGACTTAGTTTTCGACGTATTTATGCCCAACTTATTTTGAGTCATCCAACTACTCACTAAGAAAAGGATAAAATCAATAGTAGATTGCAAAACATCCATATTAGACACTTGACCCGTGAATAACAGCGTAAACAGATACGCTGAACAAAAGTCATAAAAGTCGTAAAAAGTAGCGGCCCAAGTACAGAACCTTGGGGTATTCCACTCTTAACAATCAATATATCAGAAGTAGATCCACCAACACTAACACATTGACAATGACATGCTGAAGCTTGAAAGTAGTATATATCACTAAGCTTATTCAATAACTTTAATTTATCCACCCCATCAAACGATTTCTCAAGGTCCATGGAAATTAAAAGTGAAAGATTACGTTCATTAAAGTGTCTCCTAATGGATTCCGTCAGTCCTAGAAGAACACTCGTTGTACTCCTTTTAGGACGAAAACCACATCGCATGTTTTAAAACATGCTCTACGACCTTTGCAAAAGTGGGGAAGAAAGAAATATGCTTTAAATTTTTAATAGAAACACAGTTAGTTTTCTTCTTTATTGGAGTTATCTTTGCAATTTTCCACTGCGATGGGAAGATGGAAGTCATTATTATGGTATTTACAATATGAAGGAAAATAGTTTCTAGATGTATTTCTACATCTAGTTTCTAAAAGTATTCAACTGATTTTCAATACCAAATAACTAGGAGTAATAACAATATATACATATATGCAAAAATTTCAATGCTCGATCTTAAACATGTCGAGCTCTATCATGATTTCAACCAACAGACGGACAGGCATGCAAAATCCGACGCACAAACCAACTTCCTCGGAGGACAAATTTATTAATGAGAATTGATAGAAAACACTCCTATTAGAATATATATGCAATTTGGTATTGATACGACAAGTAGTTTTGTCTGTACAAGGGTTCAAATCTGATAAGTGTTGACAAACTGTTTTTTTTTTCATCTTTTTTCTCGAAAAAATGGGTACTTTATTCTGATGCTAAAATCTTTGAATATTGAAGTTAACGGTTATTAAAAAAGTGTTTATATGACATATTCAAGAAATAGTTAGAAGTTAAGGATCGAATATGTTATGTATACCATTAAAGAAATTATTGAGGGCCAAATGGGAAACAGAATGACTGATTGAGGACATAGTAATCAAACAAAAATGTACATAAAATTTGCAATTAATTGAAAAAACATTGTATCGGAAGCGGAGATATAGTAGATTTAGTATTAAAATATTGCTTTAAATGGTTGCTTTTGAATTAGATTTGGTCAACTTGAGGATTATACTTATTTAAAGCATTTTTTGTCCTTCTTTAGGAAAAAATTAGAATCTAAATTTAGGCAACGGACTTGCATTACCTTTAAAAAAAAGGTCATATAGAAAAGTTTTTGTTCATGGCTAGAGATGGTATTTACCGGGTAAATACCCAAGGGGTGGGTAAATACCGGGTAAATACCAATTTGCGGGTATTTATTTGGGCATTTACTATATTGACTCGGTAATACAACATCTTACACCCTATTTCCGGGTTTCTGTTATCAAATCGATTTAGAATAGATAGTTTTACAATACTTTAAAGACGTGGGGAAATACTTGGGTAAATACCCGAGTTTTTACCCGAAAAATGGGTAAAAACTCATTAACTGCCGAACCACTTGACATAGGCGGCCAAAATTTTGCACACATGTTTCTAATGACAAAGCAAATGTAGAAATCCAACATGGGGTCCCTGGGTCCAAGTTTTGATATAGCCCCCATATAACCGTATCTCCCGATTTAAGGTATTTTTTGCCTATTAGATACATTTTACAACCAAATTGGCTGTAATTTGGCGCAGAGTGTTCTTGTTGGGTACCAAATGTCCATGCAAAATTGTATGTATGAAGGTCCACGTTTACTGGTAGCCCCCATACAAAGGTACCCCTATTTTGAGTATTTACCCAAAAATTGGGTATAAACTCATTAACTGCCGAACCACTTGACATAGGCGGCCAAAATTTTGCACACATGTTTCTAATGACAAAGCAAATATAGAAATCCAACACGGGGTCCCTGGGTCCAAGTTTTGATATAGCCCCTATATAACCGTATCTCCCGATTTAGGGTATTTATTGCCTATTAGACACATTTTACAACCAAATTGGCTGTAATTTGGCACAGAGTATTCTTTTTGGGTACCAAACGTCCATGCAAAATTTTATGTATGAAGGTCCACGTTTACTGGTAGCCCCCATACAAAGGTACCCCTATTTTGAGTATTTACCCAAAAATTGGGTATAAACTCACTAACTGCCGAACCACTTGACATAAGCGGCCAAAATTTGGACACATGTTTCTAATGACAAAGCAAATATAGAAATCCAATATGGGGTCCCTGGGTTTAAGTTTTGATATAGCCCCCATATAACCGTATCTCCCGATTTAAGGTATTTTTTGCCTATTAGACAAATTTTGAGGCCAAATTGGCTGTAATTTGGCACAGAGTGTTCTTGTTGGGTACCAAATGTCCATGCAAAATTTTATGTATGTAGGTCCACGTTTACTGGTAGCCCCCATACAAAGGTACCCCTATTTTGAGTATTTACCCAAAAATTGGGTATAAACTCATTAACTGCCGAATACCCAATTTTTGGGTAAATACTCAAAATAGGGGTACCTTTGTATAGGGGCTACCAATAAACGTGGACCTACATAAATAAAATTTTGCATGGACATTTTGTACTCAAAAAGAACACTCTGTGCAAAATTACAGCCAATTTGGCCTTAAAATGTGTCTAATAGGCTGAAAATACCTTAAATCGGGAGATACGGTTATATGGGGGCTATATCAAAACTTGGACCCAGGGACCCCATGTTGGATTTCTATATTTGCTTTGACATTAGAAACATGTGTGCAAAATTTAGGCCGCCTAAGGGGTTGTTCCTAATTATATCGTGACACGACTTGGCATCATGTGTGTCTTAAAATGTGTCTAATAGGCTGAAAATACCTTAAATCGGGAGATACGGTTATATGGGGGCTATATCAAAACTTGGACCCAGGGACCCCATGTTGGATTTCTATATTTGCTTTGACATTAGAAACATGTGTGCAAAATTTAGGCCGCCTAAGGGGTTGTTCCTAATTATATCGTGACACGACTTGGCATCATCTTGTGAAAGACCCCCCAATCTAATGTACTGTACTATACATATCCAATGCCATGAATAGAGATGGGCAGTGGGTAAATACCCACTAAACTCATTAACTGCCGAATACCCAATTTTTGGGTAAATACTCAAAATAGGGGTACCTTTGTATAGGGGCTACCAATAAACGTGGACCTACATAAATAAAATTTTGCATGGACATTTTGTACTCAAAAATAACACTCTGTGCAAAATTACAGCCAATTTGGCCTTAAAATGTGTCTAATAGGCTGAAAATACCTTAAATCGGGAGATACGGTTATATGGGGGCTATATCAAAACTTGGACCCAGGGACCCCATGTTGGATTTCTGTATTTGCTTTGACATTAGAAACATGTGTGCAAAATTTAGGCCGCCTATGTCAAGTGGTTCGGCAGTTAATGAGTTTATACCCAATTTTTGGGTAAAAACTCGGGTATTTACCCAAGTTTTTACCCACGTCTTTAAAGTATCGTAAAACTATTCATTCTAAATCGATTTGATAACAGAAACCCGGAAATAGGGTGCAAGATGTTGTATTACCGATTCAATATAGTAAATACCCAAATAAATACCCACAAATGGGTATTTACCCAATTTACCGGGTATTTACCCACTGCCCATCTCTATTCATGGCATTGGATATGTATAGTACAGTACATTAGATTGGGGGGTCTTTCACAAGATGATGCCAAGTCGTGTCACGATATAATTAGGAACAACCCGAAAATTTGGAAGAATCGAGTCATATACGGATTTTATTCTGTATTTTATATAACAATCCGACCCTGTTATATCCTTGGACAGTCATAAAATAAAGGCCCGAAATTATAATATGAATGTAATACGATATCGTACATTTGGCAAGACAATATTTTATTTATTCCTGATCTGTGTTCTGAAAATCTGATGAATGATCGGTGTGAATCGAAGCAATGTTCGATGTGTGTGGTACGGAGTTCACACCGATTTGTTTGACGTCTGTGGCCTGGTGTGTAGATATTTTCTTATTTGTTATGAAATTTCGTGGAGTGCAGATCAGCGGACAATGTCAAACATATGCAAAAAATATTTTGGAAGAATTTTTGTTTATGTTTTTTACAAATATCCTACAGTGTTGGAAATAAAAATATTTTACCCGGAATGAAATAAAAGTATTTAATACATTTATTTTAAATAAAAATATTTGTTATTTTTTCGTCATCACTATTGCTGTTCTGTGGATCCGTTTGACGTGTGTGGGCTAGGAGCTTCACACCGATCGAACGCACATGTTTGACGTGTGTGGCCCACTTTAGTAATGTATTTAGTGTCTAAAGTATATGAAATATTTTGTTATTAATACAAATAACAATAAAAACATAGTGGTGAATAGTGAATATAACGATTTTATAATATAGAATAGTTACTTATTTAGGAATATAGTTACTTATTCAGGGCCAGTTCTGAAACCTTAACCAATAACTAAATTGCAACACATATTACTGTCATTGTCCAAATTTTAAGTAAACTGTAAATTTTCATCGAATCTCGCTGAATGTTAACTATTTTATAGAGGTATACCAAATCTTGGTCCAATCTATTCAGATTTTTTGTCAGTTGCTTCATGTACCTAAGTAGATATAAATTGAGAAATGTTTTATTGAATAGTTGAAAATTAAAGATGTTATAGGCCAAATGAGTGAAATGTTCAAGATCCAGTAAATGGGAGGTATACAAAATATTGGTCCGATCTATCCAGTTTTTAGTCAGTTGTTTTAAAAACTTAAGTAGATAAAATTACCAATTTTTATTGAATAATAAATATATAATAATATTTGAATATTTCGAGGTGTTGCAAACCGTATGACAAATTTAATATACTCTACACCCTATGGTGGAGGGTGTAAAAAGAAAATATTTATATTTTAAAATACAGAAAAATAATAAACAACTTGTTCTATACTAATCAATTGACATTTCGATTTCATTGTAAACCACGTATGGATTCCACAGATTCCAAAAAAAAAAAAAAAAATCAAAACAATGTCCCTCCGATATTTACGCGCACTGACACACAAACAAATCTCATTGTATTAAAAGCGGCGTAGCTGCAAAAGGAGGCGGCGGCGTTACGATTACCGTAATAAAAATGCCGCCAACTGCGCAGTTTACGGATAGTATTTTTTTGTTGTTGCTTGTTTCATAAACAAATCATTTTTTTAACAAATACAACGACAAAACAAAAATTAATATATAAAATGTAAAAGGTGCCGTTGTTTCTTCTTTTTTGTTTTTGTCTTTTCTTGGTTTCTTAAATTATCTTGCGCTAGCTTGTTTTTGGTATTTTTCCTTTTTTATTATTATTGTTATTTTATCGCAAAATATCATCAGCAACAGCAAAGAACAAAAAGTTAACAACCTACAAATCCCCGAGATATGACAAACGCGTATAAAAATGCTTTGCAAAATAAAGAAAAAAATGAAAAATAAAACGGGGAATAATAGCAACAACAATAAAAAATAACAACAAACAAATCAATGCTAATGCTGCCGATGCCGCTGCATAACAAAAACAAATTCGGTCTTTGCTTATAATCGATGGAGCAAGGTAGCCAGCCAGTCAGCTAGCTATCAAAAAGGAATGCATCAAAGAAATTGAAAAACAACAACAACGCTAATATTATGCAAAAAGAAAAAAAACAAAATTGGACAAGAGTACAAAAAACAAACTGATAATACCAGCAGCACACACTGGCTGGCTGGCATATTTCAAGACCCCCCAAAAACACTCGGGGCTTCAAGAAATTTCAAAAGCTGCCTGATTAGTTATTTATTTTTCGACTTACTCTGGCACATAATTGGTGGAAAATGAAGAGTAACGATGTATTTCGTATGGCAACTTATCAAATTCTTCCAAGTTTTCCAATTTCAGCGATTGCTTTAATGCATTACTGCTGGCTGCGGCGGCAGTCATCTTCATTTGTTCTTTGCCATAACTGTTGATCATCATATTGGCGGCCGCTCCACTACTTGTGCCTACACCACCACCACCAATTGCTGCATTATCTGTGGCATCGGTTGCAGCAGCAGCACGCAAGGATGTTGGAGTGGTAGAATTGTCGTTATTGTCGTTCATCTTGTTTGTTTCCGAATTTTTGATTTATTTTTCTAATCGTTGTGTTTGGCCCTTTGTTTGCTACTGATGGATGTTATGCTAAGTTAATTTACTCTTTAATATTTTCTTTTCTTCTTTTCTACACTTTATTTTTTGTTTAAATTAATATAAAAAACACAATATCAAAAAAATAATCCAACAAGAGAGAATAGAATGTCAGTGGCAAAGAGCAGTGGTGTTGTGTCGTTGCGGTTCAACGTTGATATTCACTGAAAAGAGCTTTGGAAATGAAAGTAAATTTAATGAGGTACCTACATTGGGATTTGGATTTGGTGTAGATGTTCAAATGTCTTCACATTCCGTTTGGAACACCTTGAAATCTTTGTCGGGGACCCCATAACCTATATAATTGATATGTTCCCGTACTGAAAGAATCTACTACTTTTTACTACGATAACGAATTTTCCTTTATGATATCCATGGTACAATTATAAAAGGTAACAGCATATCCCAGCTGATTTGATTCCAACGTAATACGTAAAACATGAATTTGACAAATTATTTTTTTAAAAATCACCCAACAGGAAAATTAGGAACACATAAAATTTGAAATTGTTCAATAATAAATGTGCTCCCTTATTCAATTTACACAATCTGCCTGCTGGGAAAGTTTGAGGAAGCAATCTTTCTTCATGAAATAACTCGTCATTCCCTTCATTTTCATATGTGTTACACATATAAGTGGCTATGACTCAATTATAGGAAAGATTTGGAAGCGATAGAAATATACATTTGATAGATTTTCATTCATGTTTTTGTTTACATTTTTCTGTCAAATGACGTTGAAACTAGTATAACTTACAACAACAAATTTCCATGTGGTTGTTGTATCGTTTGTTGTACAAAAACACTTGCTGTTACCTTCTATTATTATATCATATATTATTCTTGTAATACGGGAACAGACCAAATATGTGTAAAAACTTACTAGGAGTAAACATGTAGGTTAGGTTTGGGGATTTGCAGTCACTAATGTGGCTCCAGCACTCTGAGACCGTCAGGTCCATTGCGATCATCCACGAAAAGAAAAAGATATAGAAAAAAATTGCCAAGGTTGCATTTTCCCAAACACTTTAGGTTTCTAATGATGATGTAGATTAGGCCAGGTTCCGTTGTTGAGAAGAAACTAAGACTCGGTGGAAAGTGAACACCCACTAGCCTGTGCCGTCTGCAGGCCAGGACTGGACAGCAATACAGGAGATGCTCAGTTGTCTCCGTTTCCTCCTCGTAAACGCAGAGTCTACAGTACATAATCAGATATTGCAATGACCAGTAATGTTTCCCGTCATTACTCTTATTTCAACTTTGCTCAGGTTCAACAGTGAATGTGTCCTTTTGGTAGACAGAGTCAGAAGAACGCCTCAAAATTCCGTTGAAGATGACTAATGGGTGTTTTGATTGAGCCATCAATTGCTAGGTCTGTAGATTGAGATACTCGTCTAGCTAATTCGTCTGCTTTTTCATTACCCATGATATCACGGTGTCCTGGTACCCAACACAGCTGGTAGATGTAAGTAAGTTCTTGCAAAACTATTTTACACTTAAGGACACCATCAGATTTGATGTAACAAGATTTAATGGCTTTAAGAGATAGACACCGGTTCAACGATTTCTGCATCTAGATTTTTTATCAATTCCACTGTCTTCCAAATCGCGAAGATTTCCGCTTGGAAAACACTGCTGTTGCTATCCAGCTTGAAGGTTACCCCAAGGTCTAGCCTTTCACTGTAGACGCCAGCCCCTGTACCTTCTTCGATCTTGGATCCGTCTGTATAAAAAGCCAGATCGTCCAGAGGAGGGTTACTCCGGTTCCAGTCGTCTCTACTAGGAATACCGATATTTTCATCGTCAAATCTAAGGATTGGTGATATATAGTCGCTTATTTTAACGCGAATATATATCATACCTGGTTAGTTCAAGATATAATCATGCCCAAAGGTACAACTTCGCCAACGATTCTGTTCATGCAGACTTAGAGCAATACGCGCGGTCTGACACTTCATGCTGAGGTCCAAAGTCCTTAAGTTCAGCATTGCGTTCAGAGCTGCTTGTGGTGTGTTCCTAATGGCTCCTATTATTAGAATCGAGACGGCTCTTTGTACGTTATCTAGTTTGCTGGATGTCGACTTGTGGCGCAGGCAGCTAATCCTACCATAATTATCAGATTTGTCAATGATTGTCACTTGAAGGTCTTCGTGTCGGGATGTTTTCAGTAGCCTTTTGACTCAGGTTAGGCTTTGGATAAGAAGTCGGCTTCACACCCTTGTCAGAGACAGTGGGCTTCGCCGATTCCACTACTTTCCACTCGATTCAGTGGTCTCCTTGGAGATTTTTGATCGAGCAGTTAGATTCGGGAGAGAGATCCTCTCCATCTCATTGCTCATTTTAGCGGATTATGTTAACCCAATTGTCAACTCCTTTGCATATATGTCAAATAAATCCTCAGAAAGTGGGATATAGTACGTTTACATTTAACCGGATTTCGTTAACCCAGAGGGTTTCAATTCCTTTGCATATATGCCAAATAAATCCTCATAAAGTAGTGGTCTTTTCCCGTACTTCAAGAATCTACTATTTTTTATTCCGATAACCCTTTTTTCCTTTATAGTAAAATCGGGTACATTCTTGCAGTACGGGAACAGACCATAGGATAACCCGGTAAAAAGTTCTAATTTATATGCCGTTTTAACCCTGCAAAAAGTTCTAATGTACATGACAGTTGATAATTTTAGATAGTTACGTCAACGTCCGACTTTCCGAAGAATAGAAAAAATTGTTTAATAACTCAGTCTGACAGATGTCGAATTTCAGTCCCATAACTTTGAAATCACGAAATGGATAACAATTCGATTAAAAATTTCAAATTTCCTGCTTTGGTTATGAAAGGACTTCGTGAGCGAAAGCAACAACAACAGTGCGAACAATGTTCAAAAGGGACATCAGAGAAGAGGATTTTTTCGTTTACGCTACATTTATCGATTTGTTAAAGTCGATCTACATACCCCTAATTTTGTGTATATGAACGTAAAAAGACACCAAAGATCCCCAAAATAAGGAGAAAATTTATTCTGATTGGAATTTGCAAAAATAAAACAACAATTCAACAGAAAATTCAGTGTGATACAAACATTCATTAGTTAACGGAAACCACAAAAAAAAAGAAAACAAAGAAATATTGTAGAAAAATTATTGAAATTTAAAAATACCAGAGAATCATCAATAAAATTGCAAGTGCGAATAAAAGAAGTAATATATGTGAAAAAAGAGAAGCACTAGTCCAACGAAGAAGAAGAAACGACAGAAAAAAGTATATTTTTGGTGTTGCTGCTTCTGTTCCAATTTTTGCTGAGCAAAAAATACAAAAAAAGAAGAGCTACTTTTAGGAAGAAAGTGTGAACACCACAAATTCAAAGTGAAATTCATTGCAGAAATAGAATAAGAAAAAACACATCGTAAATTCTTTTCAATATATATTCGGCAGATACTTAAGCAACAAACAAAATGGTAAATACAATTTTCAGTTTTTGTCGATTTTTATTTTTTTTTTTCTATTTAATTCATGTGTTGAACTACGAGACAATAGCGAAATGAGACCAGACCAACCGACCGACCGACCATATGATGTACCACAAAATAAAAGACCTTCTCTGTCCCATTGCCCCCAATGAGGCCATCCACACATATTTAACACAAGGTGGTGCGGGGGTGAAACGCACACGAAAAAGGCCAATAAATATAGGAATAGAAATAAAACAAATGCCAGACAGCCAGTGAGCCAGCCAACTACAAGCAACCACCATCACCACCTGCCACCTTGATTCTACGTTGCAGTCAGTCAGTAGTGAATGAGAGACAGACTAGCTAAACGAAACGAAAAAAAAACAACAACAACAGCACACAGAAAACCTAGCCGCCCATCGCGTATTCAATTGTGTCACAATCACATACACACCCCTTTCTGAAATTACTTTTATTTATTTTTTATTATTGTTTAACTAAACAAGTAGTCGTTTCATTTTTTTTTTAAATATTTAAGGTTGCGTAGAATTTTTGTATATAATCTTCGAAACTCTTCATATTTTTTTTGGAACAAATGATTTTCTCAAGTCCTTTTTGAAACATTAAACCATGACAAAATGCAGCTGATTGTGTGATCAAATACCTGTAGCTATTAATTAAAAAAAATCCTTGTTAATATTTCAATTCAATGAGCGTGGAGACTCGAAAATCGACATCGACCTATGGTTTCTTCACCAAAGTTGATTAGAATAGTCCAGAGAATGATCATAGGGACTGGATTTAATCGAATTTTTCGGCTCCATACAAGTTGGCCCGCCATAATGATTAATGACTTTTTATATTCTTTTTTTCGGCTTGAGGTAAATAAAATTCATATAAAAAGTTTCATATAAAAACTTAATATAAATTTATGTTATGTTTTCATTGCAACTGCTACTTTTTTTGACCGACCTGATTTCATGAATATATCCCTTTTAACGCAATATTTTAAAAATACAAAACTGTTATAATTACCAAATAGATAGCAATTGGTAATGTTTTAACTATAATATGAAGAGAAGACATAACGCGATTTCAAAAGAAGAACATGATTTTCTTCAGTACGAATATCTCAATGCATTACGCTGCTATTATTTTGACCGCAGCTGTATATGTAGAGTCTTCTTTAGATTTAACAACATCTATAAAGACTGCCTCTCATTAGCTCGCCTATGAAGATTCTTTGTCTTCCGCTCGCCTTCCCTTGAGCTCCTCAACAAGGCTCCCATATTTCATGTAATGCGGATCCCTTCTGTTCGCCAATGTATTTATTACAGATTACCAATCTTCAGTTTTTTGTAGACCCTTTACCACACTGTCCTTTCAACTGTGTCTAACTGGGCTGGGTACACGCCTTACTAGGAAACGTAAGATTCCAAATTTCCGCTTGCCATCTTTGGGAGGAGTGACCCTATCCTTTCCTGAAGAACAAACGAATGTTGAAGAACGTTCAAGAAATGACTGATAGCACTCTACTCTTGCAAGAACTCCATAGGAAAGAGCTGGGGACTAAGACGAGAAATCATACACTGGTGGTATGTGACGACCGTTCTCCCCATTCTTACATATGGTTACCTTGTATGTTGGCAGGGGTCAACAAAAAGATACTGCTGACAAAATTTAATTCAGTACGGCGATTGACTTCGATCCTGACTACCGGAGCGCGAAAGGTACAACACAGGCAGCCTTGAATGCGATCCTGAATCTTCAACCACTGGACATTCTGATTAAATTCCAGGCTGCCAGATGTGGCCGAGAAACGGATGCCTAGAAATCGCTGAACTATGGTTACGCTAGTATCCTCAACATAACGCCAGGTAGTGATTTCTTGAGGAGAAATACTCACATTAGTGACTATGTTCCCTCTCATGGAGACTTTAATGACATCAAAGTAGAGTTTCCTAGTAGGGCTAGTGACTCCTTACCTCTGCCACTAGTGACTTCTTACCTCTGCCAGGTCTGTCATTTTTTACAGACAGGTCAAAAATGGATGAAGGCACTGGTGCAAGCGTTTACTGCAGGGAATTAAAAACCTACAACTCATATAAACTTAACGATCTTTGCATCGTTTTTCAAGCAGAAATCCTTGCAGTTACGAAAGCGGCCGAGATAGTCAAAACACTTACAGCCGATAATATGTGGCCGGTGACTATATATGTCGATATTCAGGCGGCCCTCAAGGCTTTGAAGTCGTGCACTAATATAAACTCAAAGGTAGTTCTTGATCGCAAGTCCGCTCTGAATTATATACGACGGATAGTTAATTTATGTTGGGTTCCAGGACATAGCAACGTCCAATCTTCCAATTGAGAGATCTGTGCAACCACCCATTGGAGGATGTTATATGACATTTATAATGTGGAGACATTTGGTACCCAATAAGAACCCATTGTACCGAATTTCAGCGAATTCGCGCTCAAGAAACCCAAAATCATTAAAATTTGGGGGTATCCTTTCATTTGAGATTTGCCTAAACTAGGACCGATATAACTCATCTTCGAACATAACCTGCCTGCAGACAAAAAACAAGTCTATGCAAAATTTTGGTGATCTATATCAATTCGTTTAGAGGCTAAAGTGATTACAACAAACAGACGGAAGTTCATAAATAGAATTTTACGCGAGGTCTGTTAGGTAAAGACTCCTTTCAGAATGTCTTTAAATACTCCCTTCAGCTCGCCTATAAAGGCTCCTTTCAGTTCGTCTGTAAAGACTCCCTTCAGCTCATCTATAAAGACTCCCATCAGCTCATCTATAAAGACTCTCTTCAGCTCGTCTATAGAGACTCCCTTCAGCTCGTCTATAAAGATTCCCTTCAGCTTGTATATAAAGACTCCCCTCAGCTTTGTATGTTTATGTCTTCTTTTGCCAATATGTAATGCTAAATTTTATTCTAAGAATGTCTACTTTTTCGGGTAGACAGTACGCAAAAAAAAAATGCATTTAATTTATATTTGTTTGTTTTCTATCATTGAAATGTTTTCTATCATTGTCTCTCTCTCATTCACCTTTCATTACTTTTTACTGTGTTCAGTTATTTTCTAAATTATACACAAAAATGAAGAAAAAATATTTTTTTAATCAATTTTTACACTGGTGACATTTCCTAGGTCTCACTCTTACAGAAATCAATGATCATCGCCCTAACAGACAAAAACAAAAAGATCGGTTAATATTTAGGGGATGAAATGGACCAAAAACTTTATTTTTGTCTAATTTTCTGGTCGCTCAAGAGACCGCAATTATGGCCCAAACATTACGATTTTTTACATGGAGAAGGGGATCGGGTCAAAGAATAAGCAAGACTGTTTTGATAAAGATCGGCCAATATTTAAAGGGACCCTGACTTTTGTGTGAAAAGGTACAAAATTTGTTTTCTATAGCGTATAGATTTACCCATGAAGGACATAGACCCGAGAAGTTGATATTATATGCAAGAGGAGTGGTTGCCATTTAAATTGATACCAATAATATTGTCGTATCTACTCGGATGTGGGAGTTACACTTAAATATCTACAGGTGCTTACGCATTAATATATCATTTAGTAACACATTACCACACTTGAGGCCGAAAATATATCGCTAATCGCTTTGAAATTTTCCATGTGGATTCAGGTATGGTCAAGGAAAACGCCAATACTTTTCGGTGATGATAATAATATTTGGATTAAGAGGACCGAAAACATATTTTTTGTGTGTTTATAGGCCACAAATGAAAGCCGAACATCACAACAAAACCCACGGTGAATGGAATCTGGACAAGTAATTAGAAGGGCTGTAATGAATATTTATAATATTTGTTGACCTCTAGTCGGTCAAGAGGGTGCAAATATCGCGAAATATTGTCCATGAACCACAGAAAGTTAGATTTTCGTGGAAGTGTAGGGTATTTTATGGTCGGCCCCGTCCGACTATACTCATCCGGTCACTGGTTCCAATTTATTTAACCAGGTATTTTATATATTATAAAACTAGGTATTTTCAATAACATTATTTTATATTTAAGTACATTATTAATTGTTTACATTGAATTTTCTTTTTTGTGTGTGTTTTTCAGGGAAATGAAACCTCTCTGCCTATGGAGATGTGCTCCAACTGTGAGTATTATTTGTTGGAAATATATATATATATATATCTTAATTTGTATTTGATATTTAATGAATATATGTATATAACACTAAGTAACAATGTTTTATGTGGAGATAGATGCAAATTGAAATAGTTTGGAGTGTTCACAAGTTTTATTATGCTTACCTAAAGCTTTATATGAACTAACGAAAGACGGAGCTAAATATTTAGTCACTGATGCATTTTCAATTTTTCTAGAGCCTTGGAAATTCTAAAGAATCATCTGGTACCTAGTCCAAAGAATATAGCCCCAACAGTAGGAGTTAAAACAAGTCGTTATGTTCGGCCGGGCCAAACTGTGGATATCCTCCACCATTGGTATACTGATAGTTACATGAAATGAAAATATGGGGAACATACCTATACCAACAATTGTTGTTTTAAACCATAATGTATACCAAATACAAATTTCAGCAATTTTTAATGGATATTTGTCCTAAAATCGCAAAACCCCAAAATGTCGACCGATTTTGTCGATATGAGGCCATTATTTAAGAACCCCAAAATACCGAAAATTGTGGGTACCCTTATATGGGGGCTATCCGAAAAAATTGACCTATACTCATAATTTTTTGTAGAGAGTTTTGGTACCCATTAATAACTCAAAATACTAAATTATAGCCAATTCGGTGGAAAAATTTGATCAAAACCCCCAAAATACTGAAAATAGGGGGTAGCGTTATATGGGGGTTACGAGAAAAAGTGGACCTATATTTATATTTTGTTGTTGTTGAGAAATTTGGCACCCAATGTACCAAATTTGGTTGAAAAACTTGCTAAAGAACCCCAAAATACCGAAAATTGGGGGTTACCCTTATATGGGAGCTATGCCTAAACGTGGACCAATAGATCCCATTTTCGAACTTGACTTGCCTGAAGACAAAAGACGACTCTATGCAAATTTTGGCGATTTATCTCAATTCCTTCAGAAGATAGAGTGATTACAGAAATGAATGAATTTGACGAAATGAATAGTTTGACGAGTTACAAACGGAATGACAAAATTAATATACCCTCCATACTATGGTGGAGGGTATTGCCGAAATTTAAGGGTCATAAATAAGGTGCTTCAAAATGATAAATACGTAGTCAAGGACATTGAAAATCGTAAGATCACAAAAATTCCTTATGATGAAGTGATCGGAGCTTATAACATAAAAGATTGTGGAAGGCGGATGATCCAGGTGAAGAGATCCAGAGCTGCTCTGACCTATGGTGTATATAGTTTTGTAGATTAACTATGTAGAACCTGGCGGTCACTACTGTTAGGTTGGCCGGCAACAAAATGTTTTATTTATTTATTATAGTATTAACATTGTAGTAAATACAATGCTAATAATAAAAGTATCTTGCATTGGGTACAATGGCCATCAGCTAAATCGGTTGACAATTCTTAATAATAATAATTGTTATTAAATAGTAACAAAATGTTTTAAAGCTTATATTTAATATGTAGCTTGGATTTCATACGTCAAGACCTGATTATGAACAACACATCAAAAAAATTTTAAAAATTCAAATTTTTGGTAATATATATTTAGGATAGTTGCATTAAATCTCAACAGAAATTTGTTCTAAGTTTACGCAAAAAATTCAGGCCACAAGGGGTTAAAATACAACCATACATGTAATAGAATTAAGAACAAGCAATGATGAAATAAAATAAGACTCCAATCAGTATTAGGCGGTTGAAATAACTACAATTTAGACAATCGCTTACTTTCAAGAATGGGAGATGGTGCCAAGGACCACACTCGTCTTTTAGTTCAGGACTAAGAGTATCAATGCAGTTACACCGAAAATAAATAAATAATAATTTTTTTTTTTTTTTTTGAGGTCGAAAATCATAGATTTCTGGTCGAAAATAATAGCCTTTTGAAAAACTGAAAAAGTCATCGGGGCGCCCATGTATCATCAAGGCTCCATTTGAATACAATTTCTCAAAAAAAATTCTTTGCAAAACGCTGTATCAGTAACGCTGGCAACGCTATGCTGTGGTAAACGTGAAGAACACGACCTCTTAATTGAATACTAAAAAATATAATCTATTTAGAGAAAGAGAGAACAAAAAGTGCTAAATCCTAAAAGAAAAACAAGCTCTGTGTGGGGGTCGAATAAAGTTTCAGCGTGACTAAAGTTCAGTTTTTGCTGCAAATCTCCAATACCAAGTCATTTAGAACTGTTCTGTGTATGGGTAATCGATCGACTTTTTGAGCCGTCAATAAGCATTGAACCGCTCATATTTTAACTCCCGCGCATATTCTTTAGTCAGCTTGAAGATAAACCTACTAATTTAACATAAACATTATAAAAAGGGAAACATGAATTATCCATGTGGAATCTGCAATGCCAATACTTGTGGAACGAAATGCCTCCTTTCTCGAAAGTGTGAAACTTGGTTCCATGTGGACTGTGAAAACGTCTCCAAAACACTATTCAACTAGCTAGACAAGAACAGGAACATTGCTTACACATGTACCAACTGTGTGGAGAATCCTCCAACCAGCTCTGATGATGCTTTTAGAACTGAAATGCGGGAGCAATTTGCATCCATAAGGGACTCTTTTCGATCATTGGCAGTTGATATGAAAAAAGATTAAACGGGAATAAAAGAAGACTTTGAACAAATTGTTGCAGGATTGCAAGAAGTACGGCAAGACGTTGAAGGCTGCAGAGAATTTGTCACTTCTAATGATGTTGCAAACAAAAATAGATTCCTAGAACTTGAACTTCAGAACCATAGCCTACATATTGAAATGTCATTAAATTGTTTTAATAAGTTTTCTAATTTTATATTTCTTTGGCTCCCCCTAATATATGAATGTAGTCTATATATTATTGACTTATAACATAAATCATGGTCCCATAGCCACGGATAATAGTATCATAAAGTCTCTAACCTCTTCATTTTCCGGAAATCTTGTTTATGAAATAAATTGAAATTGAAATCTTAATATCGGTCATACAAATGCACAATGTTTATGTCCTTCAAACTCTAATGTTAAGTTGCAAGAATTTAAAAATACCTTTTGCGGCTCAGATATACCTTTTGCTATCAGATATCGGAATCATGGTTCAAACCTGAAATTTTGTCAAGCTCTCTGACTTTGCCCGGTTATAAATTGATTAGAAATGATCGTACTACCCACAGAGGCGGTGGTGTATGCTTGTATATTTCCTCGAATTTGCAATGCAAAGTTATTTTTAGGGGCAGTCTATACGCAGTATGTGAATCCTTATTTGTGGAGGTTTTTGGTGAAAATTCCTCGTTCATTGTGGGTGTGGTATATTTACCAAGTGGTACAATTGACGAATTTGAAAATTTACATGCAGATATCATCGATCGTTTCTCTAATATAATAGTCGTTACTGCTTTATTTTTACATGGCTGGGGAGCCTTTTCTGCTTTGTAGTTTGTTAATTAAAATCCATATATTATGTTAGTATATGAACTGTTTAGTTTTAAAATGAATTTAAATATGCTTTAAAGTTTGTTACTTAGAATTCATAATTTATATTAAGATATATACTGTATAGCTATAAGATACGTTTTATAATGTGAAGTACACTTTTGTAGTTTTGGCATGTTGCGATATTTATTGTCCAGATGGCTTTTTCGTGGCAATAAAATAAATAAATAATATAATTGTTATCAAATCGTATAATTTCCGCTCGGTCATTTCTCGATGTGGTCTTCATTGTCTCCACAACTCTTTGTCTACGCATCTTAATCTACCCACTAGCAGTACTTCGTTATTGGACTATTTTCTTGTTAGCCAAGCATCCTTTGTTGTCAGTAATAGTCAGATGCAATTGCCTTTCTTTTTATCTCATAGTTTCATATTTCTTTCAGTTCTTTTTAAAACACAGAAAAAACATAGTTGGTTTGAGTATAAAGATTATAAACGTTTTAACCTTTTTGATTATTCAGATATTATTAATGAATGACTTATGCTTAATATACCATACAAACGATACGGATATATAATCACCGGTCCCGTATTATCGGCAATATGTGTTTTGACTATCTCGGCCGCTTTCGTGATTGCAAGGATTTCTGCTTAAAAAAAGCTACAAACACTGTTAAGTTTATATGCGTTTTATATTTGTAATTCCCCACGGTACCAGTGCCTTCCTCCATCTTTTACCCGTCTGTAAAAAATTACAGACCTGGCAGAGGTAAGGATTTCCTACTAGGAAAATCTACTCTGATGTCATTCAAGTCTCTATGAGAGGGAACATAGTCAATAATGTGAGTATTTCTCCTCAAGAAATCACATCCTGGCGTTATGTCGAGGATACTAACGTGAACAAAGTCCAGCGATTTCCAGGCATCCGTTTCTCGGAGCCTCAGGGCACATCTGGCAGCCTGCAATTTAATCAGAATGTCCAGTGGTTGGAGGTTCAAGATCGCATTCAAGGCTGCCTGCGGTGTGCTTCTTAGAGCTGTGCTGAATTTAATTTTGTCAGCAGTATTTTTTTATTTACCCCCAACCACGATAAATGTAAGAATGGGGAGAACGACCGTCACATAAAACAAGTTTATGATCTCTGGTCTTAGTCCCCAGTTCTTTCTTATGGAGTTCTTGCAAGAGTAGAATGCTATTAGTCCTTTCTTGGGGAGTTACTCAACATTCCTATTTCACGTTAATTTGCTTCTTCAGAAAGGGATAAAGTCACTCCTCCTGGCAGGCGGAAACTAGGAATCTTACGTTTCCTAGTAAAGAGCACCAGTTTTGTCTTAGTGGGGTTTACACCAAGACCCTTGGCGTGTGTCCAGTTGGACAGAGTTGAAAGGGCGCCCTCCATAATATTAGAAATATCTCACCAACCAGCAAGACTACATCATCGGACGTTTCCACGACAGAGGGGTCTACGATCCGAAACGACCCGAGTTATACTCGGCCAACGTCTGTCACCTCAGCCCATTGTGTAAAAGCAATAGGGCTGTTACAACAACAACAACATCATCATCGGCATAGGCTACAAACTTTTTTTTAAGATGGTCGAATTACAGCAGTATAAAAAATGATAAAAAGGGAGATAAAACTCCCCCCTGGGTATTTTCAAGATGCAAGGAATAGTATACCCAAGGATCAAATTGAGCATTTTATTGATTCAATGGCTAATGGTTATACTGTCGATAACTAGCAAAATTTACTTATTTATAAGAAAAATCAAAAAGTTGCCTTAGTTTTGACAATTGAAAAATTGGGTCAATTCAGTTTTCTATAGAATATTTTCTATTTCAAAATAAATTTTGGGTTTATATATTATATTATATATTTACTTCCTCCCTAAATTTATTTTCAAACAAAGTTACAGGTGATTTATTACATTTGTAATTTCAGTGGCTTTAGTTTAGGTCATCAGTGTATATATGTTTATTACTTTTTTAAAATATCCTAAGTTGTATAAAGTCCTAATGTATATTTTTTCTACTATTTCTCATAACTTGCCCATTCCAAAGAATAATTTGATGTATCAAACAAACAAATTTGTTGCACAGTGTTAAGAAGAAACAAAAAAACAAATCTAGACATCATGTGATGATCATAACATAAACAAAACTATAGAAATACTATCTACGTACATATACGAGTATTTTGTAGAAAATATATGTACATACATACAATATATTTTATGAATGAATTATAAATTTTTTCCTCCTTCTTCTTTCTTATTTTGTACGCTTTTATACCGATTACCAGAGGATTTTCTTTTGTTTCTTTCTGACAAGAACACAAAGAAGAACCCGATTAAAATAATATTAACTATATATCATTCAGTCATATTACTAGCACACCATAGATCTATTTATTGGCATTGCTGTTAGACATTGAGGATTTTTTCTTTTCTATAATTAGAGTAAGAACATAACATCAAGAAAATGTGTGTTTTCATTTTTGTTGTTGTTATTTTTGCGGACATGGGACATTGACTGACTGAGCTAGTCAAATTGTCAAAAAAAAAAAAAAAAAAACTGTATATGTACTATTCGTGTGTGTATGTCGGTTCATTGCAAGTAAATTCGATTTTCTCAATGCAGTATGCATCCATCTGTACCATCATGGATATAGGCATGTGATTTCATTTCGTGTTAATCGCTCATTTGGTCAAAATTTTATTGGAGTCTGCTAAAAATCTAAATTTTTAAATGAAAATAAGAATTAAAACTTTTACAAATAATAGACTTGAATGACAGCTTCCAAAAATCGACCATGATTGTCTTGGAAATTTGTAGTCTTTTTCATAGAAAGATCCAATACAGCCGCTAGTTTACAAACTTCCCAAAGGTAATCAAGTTTTTAGTTGGCATAAAAAAAGCGGACTCCTTATTTCCTTTTTATACCCATAAGGTAGAATATACACTGGTGGCCAAAACTAAAGCAACTGATATTGCAAATTGAATATATCACCATTAACTTTTTTGAATATAAAGTTATGGTGAAAGTTTTTTCAGAAATAAATATGCATTTTTTTTATTAAAAAAACATATAAACACAAAAATTATTTTAAAATAAAAAATGTATATAAAACTAAATTGACCCAATTTTTGTTTGGTCAAAACTAAAGCAACTTTTTTAATTTTTTTCTTTTAATGTTATTTTTTCATTCTCGGTTTCAAAAAATGTAATTTTGTACGTTGTGCAAAATTTTGTGTCAATCGGCCTAACTTTGGGTCTTTGGTGCACCATTTATATAAAATCGGACGAAACTGTATATGGGAGCTATATCTAAATCTGAACCGATTTTCACAAGACATAGCACACATCATTCTAGACTTAATTCAATACGTTTTGTGCAAATCGAAAGATATATAGGGACTTTGGTACGCCATTTACATTTAATCGGACGAAAATATATATGGGAGCTTTATCTGAATCGGAACCGATTTTTACGTAACTTAACACACATCATTCTAGACTTAATTCAGTACACTATGCCAAATTTCGAGCAAATCAAAAGATATATTTGGACTTTGGTGCACCACTTACATTAAATCGGACGAAAATATATATGGGAGCTATACCTAAATCTGGACCGATTTTCAGGAAACTTAACACACATCATTCTAGACCTAATTCATTACGCTATGCCAAATTCCATGCAAATCGAAATATATATATATACGACTGGTGCACCATTTACATTAAATCGGAACAAAAATATATACGGGAGCATTATCTAAATCTGAACCGATTTTCAGGAAACTTAACACACATCATTCTAGACTTAATTCAGTACACTAGTCCAAATTCCGGGCAAATCGAAAGATATATATTCAATTGGTACACAATTTACAATAGGTTGGAGGAAAATATATATGGGAGCTATATCTAAATCTGAACCTATTTTCAGGAAATTTAACACACACCATTCTACACCTAATTCCGTACACTATACCAAATTTCGTGCAAATCAAATAACAAAATTTGAACCGATTTTCCCCAATTTCAATTGGATAAAAAAAAAATTAATTAAAAAAAGTCCGGTTAAAGTTGTCCAACTAGAGTGTCTGCAATTGGGAACACTATTTTTTCGGAGCATGTGATTGTCTTGCAGATATAAGTCGTATCGTTGAGACCTTAATGCTGATGAGCTAAATAACTTGCCAGAATACCATGGTTTTTAATAATGACTTTGGCTTTTCGTGTTCATGTGTTGATCATGAGGGTTTAACCAAAAATTTAATGTCTATTAAGTAAAATCCGGCAGATTAGATGGATACCCTTTATGGGTATGGGTGTATGGACTTGTAGGTGTTCTAAATATACAGAGTATTTTTAGAATAAATATGAATATGGTTGGTAAAAATAAAACATCCATTTAAATATTAGACGCTGGCGGTCTGTATAATGTTTTATTTATTTAAACAACAATTCCATATTGTGTTTACGGTTAAGTTGTTTAGCTTTCAGCTTATTCTTTCTTCTTTGATTACATGAAAACTTTAGTTGATGTATCTATTATTAGTTTACCGATGGCATTATCGATGGAACCTCTAAATAAATGGGTTGTTTATGTTTTTACAATTATTCCTCTCTGATTGTCCTCGAATTACAAGCTTATAACAAAAATCCACATTCGAAAAATACATTAATTAAATACATTATTTTTCTTCATATTATTCTCTTAGTCGATGCCGATGAGATTCGTCGTTTGGGTAAACGTTTCCGAAAACTTGATTTGGATAATTCCGGTGCCTTGAGCGTGGATGAATTTATGTCATTGCCAGAATTGCAACAGAATCCCTTGGTACAGCGTGTCATCGATATTTTCGATGCGGACGGCAACGGTGAAGTAGATTTTAAGGAATTCATACAAGGTGTATCACAATTTAGCGTTAAAGGCGATAAGCTATCAAAATTACGCTTTGCATTTCGTATATATGATATGGACAATGATGGTTACATATCGAACGGAGAACTGTTTCAGGTGAGAATGGAATTTTACAGTTTTTTGTTCTAAAATGACAAAAATAAAACAAAAAATATATTTTTACAGGTCTTAAAAATGATGGTAGGCAATAATCTCAAGGATACGCAATTACAACAAATTGTGGATAAGACAATTTGTTTTGCCGATAAGGATGAAGATGGTAAAATTTCATTCGATGAATTCTGTTCGGTGGTCGGCAATACAGATATACACAAAAAAATGGTTGTTGACGTTTAAATTCTTTGTAAAAACAAACAAACGTCGCTTTTATATATAACAAACAAACAAAAATAATATTTACTTAAAAAAACCCAACAACAACAGCAAACAAAGAAAAAAAGAATGGAAAGAATGAAAATCACAAATAAAACAAATCTTCAGAATCCCTTTTTACGATAATACCACAAAAAACAAAAACAGCCACCTCACTCCCCCCAGCTCCTACTTTTTCTCCGTCTCAAATGTCCCTTTAACAACCAACAAACAACAACAATGTACATCACCGAATTACTATTCAATCCTTTACTATTTTCTCTGCTCTCACTATCCCTCTTCCTCTCATTATTATATCACTTTCTTAACACCAATCTCCATTATTGATCAATCAATCACATCACAACATCATCATGGTCGAAAACTAAAGGAAAATTTCTCGCTTTCCCCACTTTTTGGCCATAAAGAAAATTATATACTTAACTAATATTTACATATATACATACATATATTTTTAATTGTATTTTTTGCTAAGAGATAAAGTTTAAACTTAAAAAATAAAATTATCACAATTCTTAACAAATTTATATTTATAATAATAATAAAATAAAAAACATCAACAACTTAAATCAAATTCAAATTTTTAGCAACAATTATAACACAAAAAAAAAACAATTTTCATTTTTTTACATACATACATATGTTTATATAAAAAAATCTCCAATGTCAAATTTCACTAAAACTCTGTCGTCTTCTGCTACACTTAAAAAATTAATCAAATTTTAGATTTTTTCCTTTGAATTTAAGCAAAAAATTCGAATTATTGTACCTCACTCTTCCTCCTACACCCTTCCTTGTGTCCATCCCTCTTTCTTTATCCAACAATATTTTGTAAAATTTAATTTATTTAAAACTGTTTATATATTTTTTGCTCTATTTTTTTAATGTTAAGTTTGTTAAAGTCTTTATAATGATTTCCTAAGCATAAAATAAATAAAACAAATGTTTAATAATTAAAAAAAATACCACAACAAATACCAAAAAATTCTTAATTAAAAAATTGAAAAAAGAAAACAGTTTAAAGTAATAATAACAAATAACAACAACAATATAATGTGCAGTAATTTACTTTATTTAAAACAATACAACTACCAACATTAACTTCCATAAGGAGAGTATTACCAAAAAAATTGAAAACAAAAAAAACTACAAATTTAACATTTTAAACTAAAACAACAACTATCAGCAATAAACGAACTTATGCATTATAATAACAACAACAACAACAAAACCAAAATACATGCAACATTTTACTACAAAACATCACCACATCAACTCATTTGAAAACATTAAATTTACTAATTTTTAATTAAGAAAGAAAACACAAATAATAATAAACATTATGGAATTATTAAAATAAAAGCCACTCCCTTCTAAAAAAAATGCCTACTTTTAATATATACAAATCAAATGTTTGAAAATTCCACGAATTTCCCACAGAATGTAAAATGAAATGGAATTCAAAATGATTTAAGATCACTCCTTTTTCAAGTCAGAACCTCATAAAGTTTTGAATTGTTTTTCTATCCACAGAAGACTAAAATCATTCTACCTACTTCTCATGTTATGCATATCCCTTAGTTGATAGCGCTGGGTAGGTATCATCGGGCGTCACAATCATTTTTTTGTCCTCGGCTCAGCTCCTTCATTATGATACTTGCGCAAGGCGATATAGATGTTTTATGAGAAGCTCGAAGAATGCTGATTAGTCGGAATAATGTTCAGCTATATCTGCCTGTTTCCAAAAATAAAATAAACAAATCCCCTCGAAACTTCAGGAACGATTCCATAAATTGTTCCAATGGTAAATTTAATGACAAAAACGTATTTGGATGCCGACATTTGCCATGCCATGTCAAAGTCTTAAAAAAGCTTAGGATCTGCTTGGGGTCTATTCCGGAGAAGACTGCTAGATCATAAATTTCATATTTGCCGAATTGTATGTGTCTTCTGCCACTTAGCGATCGACACCTACAGAGTATATGTTCAATTGTTTCCAGCTCTTCCTCATCCTCACATAGACGACATATATGGTCACGGTCCTATGTTATCGACAGCAAGTGTTTTGACTATCTCAGCCGCTTTTGTGTTTGCCAGGATTTTTGTCTGAAAAACTCTACAAAGATCGTTAAGTTTATATGAGTTGTAGATGGCTAGTTCTTTGCAGTAAACACCTGCACCAGTACTTTCCTCTCCATCTTCGACCAGTCGACCGGCCAGAGGTAAGGAGTCACTTGCCCAGGAGTTCCTACTAGGAAACTCTAATGTCGTTGAAGTCGTTATGAGAGGGAGTATAGTCACTGATGTGAGCACTGCTCTCTAGAAGGCCACAAACTGACGTTGTGCTTAGGATAGGCCAAAGTTCAGTGACTTCCAGGCATCCGTTTCCCGGAGCCTCAGGTCACATGTTACAGGAATTTAGCTGGAATTTAACCAGAAAATCGAGTGGTTGGAGATTTAAAATAGCATGAATAGAGCTTCTAGAAACAGTTCGAACATGTATTATTTTGAACAAAATCGTTCCTTGCCATGAAGGGAGTACAATTCTATCGGGAGTACAATTAATCAGTAAGAATTTGCAGAGAGTAAAAATGAGCCCTTCGTTCTCAAAAGAGAGAAATTTGTAAAACATCCAGTAAAAATATTAGTAGTGTCTGTTTACTGGATATTTGATAATAGTTATTACAAAATGTTGTATGTTTACCCAAAAAATAGAGTAAAGTGGGAGTGCAAGTTTGACAGTTCAACAACCACAAAATTTACTGGAGCTTATAGGCTTTGCTCCAGTAAAGGTCGTCAAACAAAAGCCACATTTTTGACATCAGACTTGAGAAAAATCAGCTGACTTTCGCTGGCTGGGTGACCTTATTAGCTCTGTTACTAAATGTTGTCTGTTTACACAAAAATCCAGTAAAAGAGAGTCAAGTGAGAGAGTAAGTTTGACAGTTCAACAACAACAAACTTACTGGAGTTTACTGAAAGAATTTTATGCAGTAAGATTTTGCAAACTCTGAATTTTTTGATCAGCTATATTATGACCAATCGACAACAATTTTGTGCAATATATCCAAATATTTAAATTTCCAAAGTGCAATTTTAAGCTGTATTGTATAAAAAATGTAGAAAATGGAAGAATATTCAAGAATTTGCAGATTATTTGCTGAATCGTACTGAATGTTGTTAGTTTACTTTCGTCGGTATTATTGGAAAAAAGAAGAAAACGGCTTACTCTAAAATAGAACTTACTGAGTAAATGTTACTGGAAAAGTAACTAGACACAGCTTTAGAACATTTTTTTTGTCAGTTCGTCTTCGGACGGCTCACAAGAAGGACGTGATCTAGAAAGTTTAAAAAAGCATTATACGCCCACGGGCTTAAAAATAGATTTTTACAAAATGGCGGTTGTTAAGCGTTCGCTTAGCTAACACGTGTTTTTTCGAATACGGATAACCTATAAAGTCCGAGTCGTTCAATGGAATCCAAACGGTTGAGGATTTCATTATCATTGGAATTATCCTAACGATTTGGTCAATTAACCAAGGAAAGCAGTGTTAAAATTGAATGTATTTTGAAGGCTCGTAGACAAAGTCTGCATAATCTGTGGTGGCGCTATTATACTCGATAATCGGGAGGCGGACCAATAACTTAAATAGGAAAAAAAGAACATTTTTTGTTGTTTGTTTACAAAACATAACAAAACAGTTGATTAAATATCAGCTGTTGGTACAAGAAAATTCTTACTGAGTAAATTTTCCTTGTCTGCGTATCATTGGCGTATTTATAGCCGACCAAAATATGAAATATGGAACTGTGGAATAAACGAACGAACTATCCCGAAAGCATAGCCAAAGCCGCACTTGATTAGAATCTTTAAGGCTCCAGAAGATTGGCCGTCCTAGAAATACGTGGCGCAGAACTATTGTTCTAGCAATAAGAAAAATTAACTAAACATGGGAAGAGATTTAAACCAAAGTGGAATGAATAAAGGAAAAAATGCAAATACTCAGTCAAGGCCCATACATAAGGTCGAAACGTAAACAAAAAGTCCAAATTTAGACTTGAGAAATAACAGCTGTTTTCCGATTTCGATTGCTACCTGTGTGACCTTATTAACAGATCTCAAGGTAGCCGAATCGGCGAATTTCTACAACAAACATCGGCTGTTGTATTTTGATATCTCAAAAATATTTTGTCAAAACAAACAGATTGACAAGATTTTTTTACACAAATTCTTGTAGAATATTGTTTTTTTTATTTTCTTGGTTCAACATACAACAACATTTTTGATATTTATTTGCACCAACAGCTGGGCCGATGCGGCTACCTTATTAAATATACCTTGACAGATCTTGTACTCAGTAACACAACTGTCTAATCTGCTCTCTCTCTCTCAATTCACTCTCTTCTACTGATCTTTTGGGTATAAGGGCAAACATTTTGTAATAATTTGTACAAATTATTGAATAAACGAACGAACGAACCTATTATCAAGTTCCCGAGATTGTTTTGTCAAAAGGGCAGTGGACAGAATTCCATATAACAATTATGGAGTATTTTCTTAATAATCTTCTGTATATTCGATTAGAAAGCATACAGAATTAGTACATGCTGTATTTGGTAATAAGAATGTTTAACACAAGGTGGGTATTTTCTACGACAATTGGTCTTAGTTTGTGAAAATATATTTAACGAATAATACGAAGGGTCCGCACCCGTAATGTAAGAATCTTCTAATTTTTACTATTTTTCTGATATCATAGAGGATTTTTTTTATTTTTACAGGTTCTGGAACAGACCAAAATTACATACATAAATATCAAAAGAGGTAAAAAGTGGTAAATTTTTTTAACACTACTCCAAGTTATTACGTGGAAAATTGCTGTCATTTTTGCCAAATTAACTTGGGTTTATGATCAGCAATCCTTATTTTTTGTATTTAATAAAAAATAATCATAAAACTTAGTAAAAAAATAAAAAAAAACTTTCACATTACAAAAAAAAATCATAACTAATGTGCACTTTG